TTGGAAGTTTCCCTTTGAATATTCCTTAAATTTTATAAATACCTTTGAGTATTTCGAAAGCCCCATCAAAATGGTAATAATATTCAAGAAGACAGTATTACTTTACTGATTTACTCTCTATAGGCAGAGAATGATTTATTCATTAATCCTATAGATTTTAGTTAGTCTTGAACATGATTTAGGTGATTAGTCACATTGTGATTTTCTTGATTTTCTGGTGATTCTTCATTTTAATTTATAATTTATAAATCTTATTTTGTAAGTTAAACTAGTTTTAAATTTAGAATGTGACTATACTTTAGCATCAATAAAATAATACAAACTAATATAATAATAATATAACAATAATATAAATTAATTATCTCAATATAGTCATATAATTTTAATAATAACTTATTAGTAACTATATAAAGAAAAATTTATATAATTACTTCTTTTTATAATTACCTAGTTTTTAGTTTCTGATCACATGATTATAATGAAATATGACTGTATTAATATTCCAATTATATTAATTTCAAAAGAGTATTATTATCAAAGAAGTTTATTTTTGAATTATTAATATTTTTATAAAAACTTAACTTGATTTAATTGATTTTTTTAAGCTAAAATACATGTTTTTTTATAAAAAATTATTAAATTAAAATTATTAATAATATTCACAAGAAAATTGCTTATTCATTCACTTGAGCACTTGCTTATTCACTTATCTTGTGATTTAAAATAAATATAGATTATTTAATATAATATAAATAAATAATTTATATAATATTTATAGATAATAATATAAATAATAATATAAATAATAATATTAGATAACTTTGTAAACAAGATTATATTATAACAATATAAAAAATAATATAAATAATAATATAAATAATATAATATAAGAATATAAAATGATATAAATATAAAAATCTTAACTAAATAAAATATAAATATATATTTTCAAAATTATTCAATAAAATCAAATATAATTTTAATTAATAATTAATGTGAAATTTTATTATATAACAATATTCAAAGATAATTATATTTTTTAATTTTGATTTATAAATAAATAAAATCTTAATATTTATTTGTTAATTCAATTATATAACTATAATTTTACAATTAAAATAAGAAATCAATTACAAGAATTATAACTTTGTAATTAAGACAAAAGATTATATAAGAACATTAGTTATTCTAGCTAATAAAATAAATTAAAAGAAAATAAAATAATAAATTTCTTTTTGTTATTTTTTTAAGCTAAGATATATATATGTTATATTTATAGATAAATTATAAAAATTAAATTTCCAATAAAAATACAAATTAAATTGAATTTTAAATTAAAATTCAAATAGAAATTCAGATAAAAATTCAAATAAAAATTCAAATAAAAATTCAAATAAAAATTTGAACTGAAATTTTAGTTAAATTTTAATTGAAATATTTTAATTGAAATAAAAATTCAAATTTTTAATAATATAATTGTCTAATAAAATATTATAAGAAATAATATAAAAAATAATAATAATATTTATAATAAAATTTAATAAATATAAAATGAAAATATTTTAGTTATTTTTAAATAAAATTTTAATACTTAATAAATATTATAAATTATACTTATAAATAAAGTTATAATTCAAGTTCAGAATTAACATAATACTATATATTAATTTCAAATTGAATTTAAATCAACTTAAATTTATATAATGATTCAGTTTGAATTTAGTTTAAACTTTAAATCAAATTCAAATCTAAACAAGTTTAATTTGATTTAGTTTATAAAAATACTAATTATTATATTGTTACCATTAGTAATCTTTATAAATAAAGATCTTTACTATATAATAAGTAGTGATTATATTCATATAAAAAAGCATGAAAGAATAAGCAGAGTATAAAATAATCTTCTAATATTATTATATATTAGTCAAAGTACTAAATAATTTACAAAAAATCTAATAAGTTTACTAAGAACTTTAAGAATAATATAAATTTTAAGAAAATAAAAGCGAGTTCATCAAAAACTCAAAGAATTATGAAAGGATTATAAAGGATTTATAAAAGATAGAACACAAAGTTCTTTAATATATGAGTATTACTTTATTAAGAAACAATCTAGATTTATCAAGAATCTTTATTATTATTTAAAAAAAGAAAACACAAAGTAATCAATTCTTCTGACAAATATACAGTAAGTTAGTTATTATATTTATTAAAGAATAAAAGCAAAGAAACTTTATTAATACTAAGTTAATCAAAAATTATCTATCTTTCTAGCTAAAATACATATTATATTTATAATAATTATTTGTTACTCAATCTTTTCAATCTAGAACTAATCTATTCTATTTAGAATAAGACTTAATTTATTTTATAAATTATCTTGTGGTACTTGTCTCAATGTTTCATACCTTTTGTTTAAGTATAACAAATTACTATAAATTACTATAAAGCTAATTTGATCTTTAAAATGTGTTTTTCATATTAATAATAATAATATAAAAATAATACGAATTAAATACAAATAGTATAAATATATTAAAAGTAGAATGATTAATATAAAATAAAATAAGATAATATAAAATATAAAATGAATAATATGAAATATATTTAATAGAATGAAATAAGAATGGATAGTATGAAATATAAGATAAATAATATGAACTAAAAAGAAATTGTAATTCATAAATCATATATTTACTAATTATCCAATAGAAATATACTTAAAATAACATGATATATTTCATATCAGGTGCTAAAATATCACATGGTAACAGTATATAAAAATTTCTAATTTACTAATCAATATTTTTTATTTTTATAAAAAATACAAATATTTTAATATATAATAACTAATAAAATTATGAAATTATATATAATTTTATTAATAAAACATAATAAAAAAGGTTTTAAATTTTTATATCAAAATAAAGATCTTAATATATATTTTAACATATATATTTCTGGATTTTTTAGATTTAATTTGATAAAGTTATAAATAATTTTATATTTCAATTATAAAAAGTTTTTACAGTAACTTTGCAATTAGAACAACTTTGTCAGATTAAATATGTTAAAATATAAATTATGATCTTTATTTTAATATAAAAATAAAAAATATTTATTAATAAAATTAAAAACTTTTATATAAAACAAACTTTCAATTTTGACTATATTTTATTAATAAAATTGCGTGTATGGCTTTTATTTAGCATTTCTGGATTAATATAAGGAAGACTAATCCCAATTTGGACAATTCCGAATCGATATTTTGATGCGTATATTTTTTTGTCTGTACCATTTGACATTTCGGGATTTTGAACCGTCGGGATCCCGGTTGTCGGGTTTGTTGGGTGCCGGGATCATAAAAATTAACGTTAAGTCCATTGGTCCAAATGTCCAGATTCCGCTAGCTGTTGGAAAAAATCTTGGAGAATCGATCCACGCCATTTGTTTTTAATTATGTTATTTGAAGTCATGTGGCTAGGGTGTCAAATATTATAACGATAAAGGATTTTTATGTCGATCATTTTATTCACGATAATAAGAAAATTTATCGTTATCTTAGAATTTGCTCTCCCAATAATCGCTTCCAATTATATTACTATAAAACTTGGTACTTTAGAAGAATTTGTACTTGACAATATTGTGCGAGTATACTAGTAATTCAAACCAGAAAATATTACATTAAACGAAACGAATTTGAATGAATCAAAAACTACCAAATACTGTACTTTATACACTATCAAAATTGTTTCAATATAAATAATAAAACTATAAATAGACAACTAAAAATCACACGTCCCCAATAATTACCGAATACCGAATATGTCGCATCTATATACTATACCCGTATTATTGTTGTTATTGAATTTTATGTTAAATTCTTTTTTCGTGCATATGTTGTCAAGTCACTAGAAGAAAAAATTCAATCTGATTAAAAAATAATATAATGTGGCAAACAAATGATTTTTTTCTAATTAAAATTCTCTCACCTTACTATACTTGTCCAAGGAACATTAACAAATGTCATACAGCATTTTAAGCTTTCAGGATCTGTGAGCGAGCGATCTGTTATCGCAAGTTGTGCTAATGACAGTCGTTTTAATGATTGGAAAAAGGAAGCAGAAGTATTTGTGCGTTGTTGTGATTGTGAATTACTTCGTAATGTTCCTCCTCGATTATTGTTGTTATTTCCATCGTCATTACCATTACCATTACTATTATTGTTGTTTTGATTACTATTATAAGTATTCATATTCCAAGTATTGCTATGACCTCGAAAAAAGTTTGCAGCTTGTTGGAGTGAAGACGGCGGGGATTCATTCTGGAGTGAAGATGGTGGGGATTCATTCATCTCCGGCGAATCATTAACCTCTTCCTCTATCGAAGTAGCTGTTATTGCAACCTTTATATCATAAGAATTGTCATTAAAATCATTATCTAAAAGCACTCTATCCAATAATATGTAATAATAAAGTTCACAAGCCTGTGCATGTCCCTTTCCTCCTGGACCACGCATCATTACATATTCCGTGGGTGGAGTAACAGGTCCCATTTTAAATCGCCGATTTAATTTACTAGCCGATTTCTGTTTATAAATCTCTAATAAAGACGAGTAAGATGCAGCACCTTGAAACAAAGTAATTTTATTATCATTGCATGGCTGCGGGAACGGCCCATTTGTCATTGACCTTCGATTCTTTCGTTGACTATTCCGCGAATAATAATCATCATCGCTTTCTTCCTCGTCCGAATCTTCCTCGACGTCAGACTTTCTTGGTATAGTCACCGCCAATTCCACGCATAAATATTCTCCCTCGGTTACAATTAAATGTTCGAACATCTCTTCATAATCGTCAATTACATAATAAATTAGTGGATATGAACATTCCATTGATGTCTCTTTTGCATCCATTCGAGGTTTTGTTGGTAATGCATAAACTCTTTTTGACACGTGTTTACGCGAACATGTCATACTAGTTTTTTGATTTCCGCTTCCTCCGTCAGAACTAGCATCATCATTACTTGTGGTTGTACGAGTACACACAGCCACCGTTAATTTACATGGCAACTACCCATCAATAATATCAGCAATAATTACGATAACAAAATATCTTTAGCGATAGTTGATGTTTAATTTTAAAATACCTGCACTATTAAGTTCAGAAAGAACGTCTCTTTCCACAAAACAGCATCTTCTAATGGCGGCATAATATGTGGCTGTGGTGATTTTCGTTTAACAAAAACCGGATCTAGTTCTTCGCTTTCAGAATGTGTTTGCCGAACGAAAAATAATAAATCATCATTCTTAGTGTCACTATTTTCTAGAAAATATTCTATAAAAAGATTTAGCCATCTGACATATTAAAAAACGGATTATTAGTAATTAAATATAAATTAACGATATTTATTAATAGTTTGTTAGTCCGCAACCTTGGGTCATTATCGTCCATATCCTCTTCGTCACGTTGATGAAAGGCGGAAAATAAGTCGCCTTGTGACACTGGTTTCCGTAGTAGATTTCTTTGAAGTTGCGACGAGTAATTCACAGTAGAAGACACACCTGAAGTGTTAGAAATAGTAGTGGTGCTTGATACTGGACCATGTAAGTTCTCAGCAACGAGCCGGTCCAGAATTACTTGTAACTGGGCCATTTTTAGACGGTAGAGATATAAAAATACAAGAACTTATAGGTATCGCAATAACGGGTAGGTGTTTATTCCTCGGTCAATTAATATTAATGTAACCAGAAAAGCTGTTTTATTAATCTCAAAATGTTTCTAAAGCTCGAAGTAATATATGATAGATCTAACGCTAATATAAAAAACAAATGTCAATTAATGACTACGCACACGTGTTAGTATGTAGAAGTGACGGGTCATATGATTCTCCCTCAAGGGGAAGTTTTGGTGGACAATCTCAACATAACGATAAGCCAGCACTAAAGTTCCTTGAAAATGTTACAAGTTAAGGCCAACATATCACTGGGATATTCAATATAGCATTTTTATTTATTATATGATTTACTACAAACCTCCTTAAATGCACCCCTCTTGGGACCATAGTAAAGCGTGCATTTAGAGAGGGTGTGCACTTATAGAGGGTGCATTTAGGGAGGTTTGCTGTATCACTATATAATGTGACAACTTAATTTTTTTAATTAGATCATTGAATATCCTGTTACATTTCAATATCGTTCTTTACTATATCAGAACAATGAAAACTTTATTGACTGTTCAGTCAAGATAGACAGCTTTGCTTTATTTTCATGATCATCCAAACAACTGCCTAAGTTGCGGAGAATTTGGAAATTCGTTCATAAATTTCATTTGTTGGGGTGGCGTGAATGGTTGTTTGCGTCTTTTAAAATCCTTGGCCAGTTTGTTTACTCGTTCCTGTAAATGCAAAAAATTTGTCATAAGTTTCAAAATGAAATGTTCATCATGCCAATTGAAACAGGACAAACGATGTATACCTCTAATGTTACGAAGTGACAAAACGTTGATTCTATCAATGGCATTGATGCCTTATCAATTGCCAGTTTAGTTGTATGAAAAGGCCACGAGCAGTATGATCAGCCTAAAAAAAATTGGTTGTTAGCATGAAACTACAACCATAAACACACATGATAATGAACTCTGAGCAGTCAACAGGCGATATACGAAATAAGTAGCTTGGTTTACCCTCGTTAAGCCATCGAGTCCAGCAAAGACTAAGAAACTTGATAACTCTTATGAACTAGCTTACAAAAAGCCACGTCTTCAGAGTATTATCTTGTTCCTCAGGCAATGCCAGCGAAACCTACTTCTTTGAACAACTGTATAGCTATTCTCCGAGTAAGTTGCGCACCCACGCCGACATGGACGTGACTTGCGCGAGAACTTATTCCCACATACCACACTGCCAACTACGTATATAGTTACCACATGTATGTACCTGTTTTTACCTCAGAGTCCAAATAATCCGCACTTCAGATCCATAAAAAAGGATTCAACTAAGTCACCTAGATCATAAAATGCGTAAAATTTAGCAAACATATATACATGAAAAGGCCAACAGGTCATTATATACATACCCATGTTTGTAAAATAGCCCTGATTCACCGGGACCACCTTTTAAATTGAATTGTTGATTTATTGATTCCTTAGTTCTCAAATGTACTTTTACGAAATCTTTCTTTTTTTGAAGTGGTGTACATCCGAGCGGTTTAAACTCAGAGTTAAGAACCGGTATTTCGTCAACCACACAAGAGAGGTCATGCCTTTTTTTTGTGCCTTTGACAACACGGTTTAATCGAACTTCATATTCTCTAAGAGGTTGGTTGAATATAGGATGCACATGGGGATACAACAGATTGCAGCAATGCAATGCCTCAGACATTTTGGAGGGAGCAAGTGGAGGGAGATTGCGTCTAAAGTACGTTAAAATTCATAACAATACAAAACGCTTATAATTAGTCTTTTGATCTTCTTCTTCCCGAAACTAAGCACAAGTCAACTTACAGCTCGTTAAACGTGCAAGCTGCGGCTCTGCCCAATTCCGAATTATCAGCGTAAATGTAACTATCCTCATCCATTAAATGTTTTCTTGCTGCCTCTTGAAAAGTAGTAGATATTGATGATAGTATGATGGGCTGTTCGATCACAAATGGTTTGGTTCGAGTTATTGTATACCATTCTGTCTCAGTGAAATCCGGATATAGACATGGGCAAGAACAATGATCGACGCCAATGCCCTGAAGTATGATTGCAAAGGATAAATTCAATAAGAATGTAATCTTACTTCTGACTTGTGACATCTCGCAATACTTACAGAATCTCGTACGAATCTTTCCACGTTAGTCCATCACCTTGTCAATCACCTTTCGTTGATACTGACGAAATCTCTGCGTAACGTTTATGTTTCCAACCTTCCACTGAAGCATATAAATAACATTAAAATGGGCAAACAAATAGGAATCAAAATTCGATTCGCTACATACCTCATACAAGGGTGCTATCTCCAACTGCTTCGTGATCTCGTGAGATTAATTTCAAGTTGCTCATCAGGATCAGATGACTCCTCAGTCTCGTCATTGGTACTTGCGGAAGGAACAGACATGGAGGGATCTTGAGTTGTTTTAATCTGAGCACATCCGAAGATAGGAAAAGGTGAGAAGAAAATTTTGTGGCCAAACATTATACGCGGTTGAATTCTGTGCTAACCTTCTTGCCAGTGTTAGGAACAACTGAATTTATGGTATCATCATCCACTATCAATTCTGATGAACGTTTTCTGACATTTTCCGGATCGATACTTGGGTTCGATATAAAATCTAATTTTGTCTGGTTTGTGATCATATGAGCTTCATTCCCCATTATAGAAAGATCGACTGCAAACTGGGCCTGCAAACAAAAAATTTGATATAGCTATTGCGCAGCTTGACACATAGTATTGACGTGTCAAACATACCTTAGCTTGCTTTAACTTCACCTCCAACAAATGATTTTCTGAAGTGATTTTTCATATTCAATATTAATCCAGAGCAATTTTACATCATCTCTCTGTGCTTGATGCTCAAGAAAGGGAATGATTACAAAGCTTAGTCCATGAAGAAAGCAGGTCATTAGGGACTGCGAATGAACAGTGCTCTTGGCACAGAGACAGTGCCTCTAGCCTTCACGCAAACTGGAGATGGAACCCACCGGAGAAGTCCCCATAACTAGCCTGACATTGCTTGGCCGCTTAGGTGGTTGTGCCCAATTCCTTCTCTATTCCCTCACTGCTTTACATCATATCTTGCTCTTCAACAAAAAAATTAAAGCAGATACAGATACTTACATTTAGCATTCCATATTTGTGTAGAGCTGAAGCGGCCTTCTTCCACTTTTCACCTGTTGCAGTTTCTGCAATATACGACACGAACTTAGATATCTCAGTATGCTCGGCTGATTTATTATACGTGAAGTCATCTTTCACACGGCGGAATTTGATGATTGAAATGAGGTTGAATTTATCAGGGTTCAAAACAGTTTCCCACCCGTCAAACTGTAATAAGTTTTGGAAAAGATTTAGAAAAGCTCTTAATGTGTCCATGTCTCGCATTACTGTCTATTTAAAGCTCATCTTTTTGTCGAGATCATTCATTTAAAAAAAAAATTCGTGAAAAAGATAGATCTATCGCAACCAATAAGAATGCAAGTTTTTGATCAAACACTAAGGAATGCAATCCGATCCGAATCACATGATCTTCATAATGTAGATTTGTAGATATCGAGGAAATATCTAAAGCTAATGTTACAAGTTTGTTCACTAATCGTTAAATTAGCTTACAAACGAGAACCTGGGTTGGGAGAGGATATAAACTGATAA